TTTTGAAATCTTCGAATCTCTTCATGGCAATTGTTAGTTTGTTGTCTTTTTCTTGTTCATCGCCTTCACCGATACTAATGAGAGTATCCCATATTTCTTTTGCTGTGGTGCACTTTCGAATCTTTGGGAATATTGTGTCATCGACCGTTTTAAACAAAATATCCTTGGCAATATTGTCCAAGTTATTTCGCCCCCTATCTTCCTTTGTCCACTCCATTTTTGGTTTTGGAATATATCGTGGAGCATCTGGATCTCGTGGAGTAGCAGTATTGGCTTCCATGATTTGGATTGGGCCAGTTGTGATGACTTCCCACATTTCATCATTTAAAGCAGATAAGTGCACCTGCATACGTATTTTCCAATCATCAAATTTATCAAGTGAGAAAAGTAAATTTTGAGCAAGAGCCATATCTCTCTTCATTTTGAAGTTTTCGAGATCTATCTAGCAGTCAAAATTGACTCAAATAGACAACCGCTCTGATACCACTTGTTGGTCCCGAAAGGGTGGCGAGAAGTCTAGAGGGGGGGGGGGGGGGGTGAATAGACTTCTCTAACTTTTCAAACTTTCTTCGAAAACACACAAGGCAAATAACACTTTGGTAATTTCAACTCTAAGTAACAAGCATTAACAAAATAAAAAACTTAGAGTGTGCAGCGGAATAAGTAGCGATAAAGTGTTATGCTTATAAGTGCGGTGCTCAAAGAGATATTCTAAACATGCAACACGTTAGAAACACTTGATATGGTTCAAGGATGATGTACGTAAAGTTTGGCATGCATGCAAACGTGGGAACTATCAAACCCAGACAGATAAAGATATGCGATAAATCGTAATCGGGTTAGTTCGCAGTTAGAATAGGTATGCACAAAATATATGAGCAGTAAGTAAATAGAGAGAGAGATTTATAGTGGTTCAGAGGTGGTGTAATCCTCCTAGTCCACTCTTCTCCTTTCACTTCAAGGAGGAAATTCACTATTCTTCGATCACCCAGATACAATAGTGAATAAGTGTCCACCGACACTTCTCCGAGTGCTTCGCACAAAGCTACACTCCTCCAAGGTTTTTCGCAAGCTCCTCTTGTTACTCCGCCTTCCCGAGTACTTCGCACGAAGCTGTACTCCTACACCACGGGAACTATGCACAAAGCTACGTCCTCCAAGGGTTTTCACAAGCTCCTCTTGTTACTCTGCCCTTCACCACGAGTGCTACGCACAAAGCTACACTCAACCAGGGTTTTTCACTCCCTCTAGTTACTCCACCCTCTTTCTACACTCAGTAGAGAATATTACAAAGAAATAAAATTTCTCTCTCACTCAGACTTGAATTTAATTCTATGAAGCTCTGTTTTCCCCCTTTTCGGCTAATAAAGAAAATATAGCTTATATCTTTTGCTTGTATGTTTTAGCCGTTGTTCAAGTTGTTGAACTGCTCTATCATTTGGGGTTTTTCTCTTGCATTTCTGCTGCATGTCTTCAAGTCTGCTTAGGCAATTTATAGCTAGTGAAAGCTATTTGCCCGTTGATCAACTATCGATCTTGATCGTCCATTTCGAATTGTAGTTGATCAAATAATGTTGTCAGATCTGAAATATTAGGTAGACGTCTTTTCTCCTTTTGTCAGATGATTTGAATAATTTGCCCGTTGCCGTGTCTTGAATTTTGTAGCCTCCAAAATTTGAATAAGTTCGGCGCGGCAAGCTTGATATTTCTTGTCCTTCATAAATGCTCTGACATGTCAAGTTGATCAAATAATTTATCTGCTGATTCTTGCTTGAGTATAAAGTAATTTTTCCGCGAATCAGCCTTCTTCGAGCGTCCCTGATTCCACCGTAAAAACTTGAAGTTCAGATGAAAATATATCAGATATTTTCTCCTTCATGATCCTTGTAAAATAATATACTGGAACCTCTGTAAAAACTTCACTGTTGTTCATGGTGAGATGCTCTGTTTCGAATTTCTAGCTTGGTTCACCATACTTGGTGTGTTTCTCCATATGGTGCATGGCTTTTGTGAGACTTGTGCATTTATCTTACTTAGTCTCCGTGTTGGCTAGTCTCCATGTTTGCTAGTCTTCATTCCAAGCTAGTCTCTCATACAGTTTTGGTATACTTTGAGCTAGTCTCTCATACAGTTTTGGTATACTTTGAGCTAGTCTCCCATACGATATACGGTCCAATATACTTGACCTTGAGCTAGTCTCCCATACGGTATACGGTCCAATATACTTGACCTTGAGCTAGTCTCCCATACGGTATACGGTCCAATATACTTGACCTTGAGCTAGTCTCCCATACTGTCCAAGCTAGTCTCCCATACGGTTGTACGGTCCAGGCTAGTCTCCCATACGGTCCAAGCTAGTCTCTCATACGGTTAGAGCTAGTCTCCCAAGCTTAAAAATGCTTCACTTGAGATTCAAACTTAGGATCATTTGGCATAACTCACACATATTTCTTCCAACTCCTCTAGCATGGTTCTTGGTGACTTATCCGCAACGTAATTATGTTAAGCTATAATCCCGCTTAACATTTAAAATCAACACGTGATTTTCCAGACTTGTACATGGGTTGCATGATATGGGTGCACCATACTCCGTAGACTCAAACTGACTCAAATAGAATAAAAATGGGGACTACTTGATTTTTCAAAAATACATTCGGCTCATCAAAATTTACAATATATTCCTAATTGTGCCATTAGCCGGTATGTCGTGTGCATGGCCGAATGTAGTCCTGTGCCACAGTTTGTATGTCGCGTGCTAGATTTGTTAATTTATAGAGCCTGGGTTCGAAACCTGATATTTACATTTATTCTTGTGTGCTATTATGTATTAAGTTGTGTGCCTGGTATTAATTTGTTGTGTGCCCATTATTTGTCCTCACAGTCCTCTATATATTGTTGTCCTCATTTGAACTCAACCCTATATATATATATATATATATATATATATATATATATATAGTACTACATGTTTTTCTCGAGCATTGCGTGAATGCGATAATATCCAATAATTATTTTTAAATAAGTACTTCAAAATATATCAATGCATAATTATATAGGAGATATTTATGCATAGGTAACTGAATGTTGAATTTGTTTATATTTAAATCAGTTATTCAAAGTATATGAATGCTAAACTAAAGAGAAAATTACACTTTTGGTCCTGTGACTATTTGGGCCTTGTTAATTTTAGTACATAACTTTAAAAACTAAAAATTTAGTACCTTAACTATGCAATTTTTAACACATTTGGTCCAGCCTGCCAAATCACCGGTCAAATGTGGCCAGAAAAAATATAAACTATTTTTTATTATTTAATCATGGGGGCAAATTGGTCCTTTCAATCCTCGTTCTTCTTTCTCTCTTTCTCTGTTCTTCTTCCTCCTTGCAACACGACCAGAAAAAGAAAAAAAGGGGGCAATTGCACTGTCACCTCTGCCACCTCCAACTGCACCGAGAGCCCCAACCTCTGCCTAGTGCCGCCCGACAACTCCTGCAAGTCCAACCCGGTTAATCCGGGCTATTGCCGCCTGTATGGAAAAGACGCAGAAAGTTCTCATCGTCGCCACCGCTGCTTCGTTGCTGATAGGGTGCTTGATCATGGGCTTATTCGCGAATCTGCCGCTGCCATTAGCGCCCAGAATGGGAACAAACACCTACTTCGCCTACACTGTCGTCGGCTTCCATGACTCCGGCAACATGTCGTATCAAAGCGCGTTGGCCAATGTTTTCATCGAAGGTCTCATCTTTCTTGCCATATCCGCCATCGGTTTGCACGCGAAGTTTGCGAAAGTGGTCCCTAAACCCGTCAGAATCGCTTCCTTCGTCGGTTTTGGACTTTTCGTGGCCTTCAGCAACTTAAAATACTAAATTATTTATTAATTACAGTTAATAGTTCTTAAGTAATTTGCCAAAATCATTCATAGATCCAATTACTTGGAGGTGGCGGTGCCCCCTTTTTTTTTTCTTTTTTGTGGCCGTTGCTGCAAGAAGCAAGAAGGAGAAGGTAGAAGAGTATGAAATGACCAATTTTCCCCTATAATTAAATAATTAAAATGAGTTTATACTTTTCCGGCGATTTGGCCGGTTCGACCAAATGTGTTAAAAATTGCATAGTTAAGGTACTAAATTTTTAGTTTTTAAAGTTATGTACTAAAATTAACAAGGCCCAAATAGTCACAGGACCAAAAGTGTAATTTGCTCTTTAGTTTAGCATTCATATACTTTGAATAACTGATTTAAATATAAACAAATTCAACATTCAGTTACCTATGCATAAACATCTCCTATATAATTATGCATTGATATATTTTGAAGTACTTATTTTAAAATAATTATTGGGTATTATCGCATTCACGCAATGCTCGAGAAAAACTTGTAGTACTATATATATATATATATATATATATATATATATATATATATATATATATATATATATATATATATATATATATATATGGTGAAAAATTATTTAATTTAACTTAGCGTTTTATTCATAGAAACACGATTAATGCGAAAGACCACAATGAAACTCAAGTTTTCATGTCTAATGACTTGCATATGTAATAAAAATTAACCATTCCATCTAATTTGGGAATTTCTTTTAAAAAATTAAATAATTAATTCTTTTAAAGACATGCCCAAATCCAAAATGAAATTAATTTATTTGAAAGACATTAGGAAATTAATCATTTGTTTTTAAGGTATTGTTGCAGGATGTTCAAGCTGGGGTTGAAAACCATCTTCAACCATGCTGCTTCCTGAGCCTGTTTGCCACCTTCGATTTGGAACACGGCGGTGGGATCGATGCAGTGAATGGGCCATCCTAGCTCGTCCCTCAGCCACCGGATTTTGCCTACTTGGTGGCAGATTAAGCCTATGGTGTTGGTCTTGATTTCGGCAATGGCAGATTCAAGCAGCGCCTTCTTCTCCGCGTCGGACATGTCTTTGCTGGCTTCAGCTCTCAGATACTTGTCCATTTTGGGAACTCCGATGGCTCTTCAGATACCCTTTGTGTAGTCTTTGTCGAGAGCAAAGATTCCTCGTACCTCCTCAGCAAGACCTACATGCGTATAATTAGTACAACAAACAAAAATTATGCATGAATCTATGTCACATGATCTCTTTTATAGAGACATACAAATAGACCAGTTTACCAAATTAGTCTGACCAGTTATATAAGTTCGTTTTGACGATTCTACCTAGAAATGAATTTATGTTACCTTGATTAACCATTTGGTTAACTTGTTTTGACACAAAAGTGTTAAAAACATTTGGAGAAACATCGAGCCAAATGAAGCACCCAAGGTAATTGGACTTGAACTTGAAGTCAGGGTCCTTCACCAAGGTTTCAATGAAAGAATTCGACCCTCCTCTAACGATCGGAACCTTTCCCGAGTTGATGATTTGCTCGATCACCGACGTAGCATCGAAGCCGAATTCGCGAGCAGTGTATTCTTCATCGGGGTTCCCAACATGCCCAAGCAAATGGTGAGGCACGCCAAGCTTCTCCACCTTAGGAATCTTGTTGCCAAGAGCGTCAAGCCCTCTATAAACCTGAATCTTGTTAGAGTTGATTATCTCGCCTCCAGTGCGGGGGGCGAGGCTGACAGACAGCTTCGATTTTCCCAATCTGGTGGCTACCATGATGAACGCGACTACCTTCTTGATCACAGCGTTCATCGCCATCTTCAGTAAATCGATTGCCTGGCGCCGCCTGCTTGTCTTTTTTATTTGTTTATAGCAAATTCCGGCTCTTTTCCTTGGCGGCCTTGACGCATTCACCATTTGATCTATCATTTTGGATGAATTAGTGAATGATGCAACGATCTCACGCAGATTTTGCTCCCTTAACTCTCTTGTTGTGCACTGCTCCTTAAGAAGATGAACTTACTTTTCGAGTTGATCATTAGCGATGGCTAGTTCGATATTTTTAATTCTAACGCGTCTGAGCTCATCATAAGTGATCATAAGTCGAGAGTTCTCTTCCTTTAACTTTGAGTATGTGCTTTTTTACAACTTCAAAGTCCCTCATCAGTTTTATAACCGAATCCATGGAACTTTCCTCATTATCAGAGTAAGAGAGGGGTCTACATTCCAAATGAGTTTGGTATCATCAAAATCTAAGTACATATGTTCCTAACAACAATGATGTTAATTAGTGTGATTTGAATTGAATGTTGGAGTGTGACGGTTGAGATTGTGCCTAAATGCAATTCTGAATGTATAGTTATGAAGTTATGGATGTGTAGTTATGCATGCAATTCTGAATGTATAGTTATGAAGTTATGGATGTGTAGTTATGCACTTCTGAATGTATAGTTATGAAGTTATGGATGTGTAGTTATGCAATTCTGAATGTATAGTTATGTAGTTGATGGATGTGTAGTTATGCAGTTCTGAATGTATAGTTAAAAAGTTATGGATGCGATTTTTTTTAGGCTAAATAAGTGTAGGCTAGGTGTTTGTTAAATTGTCTCATAGAGCTTGTGGACACTCGGGTGCCACAATGACCTATGATAGGCCATAGAGACCGAAATGGCTATTGCATTGCGAAACACTTCTCTTGAAAACACAATCCTCACAATCTCACACTCCTATTTTAGACACTAATGCACATTGCAACGAAGGGGCAATCCTCCACCCGTTTCCTTTTAATTGATTTCTACTTGTCTACTTTCTCTTGCTCTCGCTCTCAATTTACTCTTGATACAATGCTCATCCTGAATCTCGTAAGTGATAAGCTTGAGTCCGCTCACTAACATATCTCGATGCTTCCAAATTTACCGTCCTTAGAGAACGACACTTGGGGATTCCATTTCCGTTTACTTCTCCATTCATCACCACACTAAAACTAACACGTCACCATCCTTTTGAGTATAACCTTTGACAACAAGTCTGGCTTCATACCTTTCGACATTTCCCATGGAGTCTCACTTGGTCTTAAAGACCCATTAAAGCCATCTCTCCTACAACCATTCGACAATTCTATCAGTTTCTAGACATTGTTATTTGCCATAGATTTCAACTCTTCATTCATAACATCTAACCACCTATCAGAAAATTAGTGACGAGAGTAATAAAATTTGTGTGATAGATTTTGAAAAAAATAAAATAAACAAATAGTGGTGAGTTTGAAATGATGACAAAAAATAATGATTATTATACTTAGGAAATAATTAATTAGAAAGCTTAATTAGTGATAAATTAATTGTAACTAAGAACACGATTATGAATATTATCTTTGTTAATTATTTTAGAATATTATGTATATATAGTGCCTATTGTAATGTAAAAATTACAATGCGGAATTCTAAAAATAAAAAGTGTTATAAATTAAAATATTTACACAATTAATATGTTGGAAAAAGTGCGTGTAATCACATCCCAATAAGCTTTATTTAAATCTCCCTAAAAAAAAAAAGCAACAAGGTTCAAGATTTAATCTTATGGGATACAAGAAGATGAATGAAATTCTCAAGTTGCTTTTTTTGAGAATTTCCTGTAAAACGGAAAGACTCTGAAACATCTTGGTGTCCTGCAAGTTGATTGCCTCCATCAATTGCCTGTTTGTTTTTTTATATCTTTCAGATGTCACTACAACATATTTATATAAAAATATTTTGACGGTTAGAAGAAGTTACAAAAGTTTAAAACTTCAACTTCCACAAGATATATCTTAAATAATATTTCTGCCATGGGAAAATATAATTACTTAAACCATGCATGTACATTTCGTAATAAAATGTATCCACGTAAGTTATCTACATCTAGTAAATAATTATGTAAAATATATATTTATATCATCTCATGCATCTGACCCTGCAAAATATAATATACAAATATATATATATTGAACCTTAATGCATTTTGTTTGCAGATAAAACATATTACGTACTGTACATTTTAACCCACCCGAATGCTAAGTATATAATCCATTCGTGTGTCAATCTCTTAACCCGAAACATGGCTTACTACATGAAAGGTTAATTACCTTCATGCCACCTGAATGTACAAAGTACATAATCCATGAAGTCCAGCACGAGGCATTCACTGATTTGTTAAAATCAAGCCGAATTGATAAAGCACATGCATATACATAACAATTCAATACTCTCTACCAAAAAAAAAATAACAATTCAATACTCCAACCTGAATTGATGCATATACACATAACCATGCCATTCGAATTGACCGATTCGTTAAACAACGAATTGTACAAATTTAAAACCATCTAATCGTTAAGCAATGATTTGATAAACACGATTTGTACAGAATCTATCAAATCGTTAAGCAACGATTTAATACAACTAATTAATTTGATTTAAACAACGATTCGTTAAAAATCAATTGAAATATATAAAGGCGCAGCACACAGTGATGTTGGAAATTGACGTTGTAACACAAACGATTTGTAACGCAGTTCAGGCAAACAACCCTAATCTGTGAGGCACTTCTCAAGTTGAGAATTTTCCTAAATCCACTAAAAGCTTAATATTTAAAGTACACTGTTTGGAACCGGAGACTACACAATAGAATGATCTTTCCTATTGGACTATTGTGACCTAAACACATGTACTACTTTTCAAGGGGATTTGGGTATCTCTTCTCAATGACTCTCGTACCTCACAATTAGATCTTGAAAGCACGAGTTTAACAATAAAGGATAACCCCTTTTTATAGTGGCTACTCCTAATAGTTGAAGGAATGGCAATGCTATTCCTTTTCAAACTAGAACTTGAAAAACTAAATCCCTTTGTAACTAGTATCAATTAATAACTAATCCTTACTGATGTGGTATTCCTTCATTCAACTGGAAATCCCTTTTTGCTCATAACTTTGACAAACTATTTTGAGTCAACACTCTCCCCCTTTGTCAAATTTTTGCAAAAACCTGGAACTTGTCTTGCATTTAGTAGTGGTGACTATCCTGGAACCTTTCAGGAGTGGTGACTAGACAAAAGTGGGAGAAGTATCAAACCTCATAGTTCCAGGATAATCAATTAGTTGTGGTGACTATCCTTGATACTTCTCCCCCTTAATTGATTATCCTGGAACCTTTCAGGAGTGGTGACTAGACAAAAGAAGTGATTAAGTAGAACTTTAGTAGTTTGTACAAAAGTATAGAACTCACAAGCTCTTTGTTATAGAAGAAACTAGAACTCCTGGAAGCAAACAGGCTTCTTCACAAAAGTAAGAGTACACAGACTTGACTGAAGGCACACATCCTTTTTCCACAAAAAAAAAAAAAAAAAAAAAAAAAAAAAAAAAAAAAAAAAACTGTAGAGTCCAGATTCCAGTGGATTCCTCTTTCTTTCTCCCCCTTTTTTGCTAAAATGAGTGTGTTGAAACCTCTCAGGTTTCAACATTTTCTTCAACACCTTCTTCTTCATTTTCACTGCTGCCTTCTTCACTTTCCTCTTGATTTTCCTCATCTTTTTCTTGGATATTCTCTTGACATTCTTCTGTAGCTTTTATTTTCAGGGCTTGGATCCACTGTAACGCCTCTGCTTTTTCTTCCTTGATATCCATATGTCTTCTTATGATTTGTTTTTCTGAGGTCTCTAGTTTTGATAGTCTTTTCTCAAAGTACTTGATCAAGGTACGTTGATCAGTTGTTTTTTTCTTTAGAGCAGAGGTTCTTAGATCATTCTGATGTCCTCCTTTCTTAAACTTAATGGTGGTGTTGATGGTTCTGACAATTGTTTTCTGGCCATGAGACTTGAGTCCTTGGATGGTTAGAACAGAATAGATCAAGTTTGGGAAGATGAGTGAAACCTTGGACTTGTTGTTGTCTGCAAGATTGATGATCTATGAAAGAATGGTGTTCCCAATATTAACCTTGATGCCCTTTCCAATTTTGTATAGTAATTCGACCAGCTTCCACTTCACATTTGTTTCATGCAAGGATGGCATCCAGTTAACAAGGGCTATTTTCTGGAGAGTTGCATATTTACTAGTCAGTGATGCTGCCTTGATCTTCCATTTTTCAAAGGTTACATTCCCAACTATAAGTCTAAGGTAATTTGTTGACTACTGATTTGTAAAGATTGCTCTTCATTAGATGTTCACATATAGTTGTTGATAATGTCTAGGTTTAGATCATAGTAGTTTCCTCTTATATATACCTTTCCATACAGGGAGCTGCTAGGTGTGTTGCTTTCCTTGGTGAGATTACAGTAGAATTCATGTATGATCTGTTCATCATATGGCTCCACCTGGGTGACTATTCCCAGTAGATTTCTATTTGTCAATGCTTCTTTGATTTGTTGATGATTATTCAGTTTATCTAGCACTAACAACTTTTGGCTGATGATTTTTCTCTCCCCTATTTTGTCTCATAGCTTAATAGATTGTTTGCTTAGGAATTTGGAGTTGTGGGGTTTTGGCAGTTTTGACAGATCATCATTGTCACACCATACTTTCCTTTTCCGTTTTTTCTTATTTAATTTGGTCAATTCATAGAGTAATTTTCCCGTTTTCTTTTTCCTTGTGTTTTGCACGAGTTCTTGATCCTGTATGCTCGAGATCATCTTCAAGAATCCAACTATACTCATCCTCTGTCAAATTTCCCTTTGGTTTGGGTTTGGATTTTGGTAATTTTGGTGGAAAATTGGGTTGCCGTTGAGGAGGACCTGCTCTAATTGGGAAATCATTTGGCCTTTTGGCCCTAGGGTCTGCACCTTCAAAGGGATCTTGTCTTCTTCTTTTCTTGGTATTCGGAGGAAGTTCCTCCATGGTTGTGAGGGGTTCATTGTCCATGGAACATAGATTGGATTGTCATCCCTTTGGTGCCTCTGTTTCTTCTTCCCCTTCAGAGAACTGGTGTAGGTCTCTTTCGAAGCTGTTTGGGGAAGGCAGAATTGGGGTTCGGTCACGATGTAGGGCATCTAAATTTGGATCGTGGTTGACATGGTTCCCCGGATTGTCTACAGTTGGCAAACAGTATAGTGGATCCTCAAACAGATATGCAGAGAGATTTAGGGTACCTGAAGAAGCAGATTCTCGCACATCTTAAAACGAAACTTGTGACATCGGAACAGGGTCCACGATGATATTCGTGGGATCGTCATCTTCAATGTGCACTGGGTTCGATGGAACACCGGTGCCGGAGAGTTTCGACGCGGTCCCTCTTCGAGGTAACTTTCCCTTTGCTTGGTTTCATGTTCTCACCATGATTGTTTGTTGTGAAGTTGTGGGAGGTGCTTTGTGAGAGGCGATTTTAGGTAGAAGATGACCTTGGTGTAAAAATGTGGGCCGGGTTTGGGATTGATTTTAAGATGTTGGGCCGTTGATTCTTTGCCTCCTTTTTTTAAATGGGCATCTGATTTGTTGTAGCTTGTAGAGATGGCCCCCTCTCCTTTTGTTCATAAATTGCAGACCAATTCCGGCCCTTAATTTTGCATATCTATTCCCATCAAGAGCTTTTGCCAAAATACCTGCTAATTGCTTTTCTGTATTAATGTGTGTGAGATTGATGATTTCTTCTTCTACTAGTTCTCTTATAAAATGCCGCATGATATCGATGTGCTTTGTTCTTGAGTGTTGTACTGTTTTTTTTGAGATGTCTATTGCGCTTTTGTTATCACAATGTATGATCATAGTTGATTGATGTATTCCATAGTCTTCTAGCATCTGTTTCATCTAAAGTAGTTGTGTGCAACAGCTTCCCGCTGCAATGTATTCAGCCTCGGCTGTTGATAAGGATATAGAACTTTGATTTTTGCTTATCCAAGATACTAGATTTGTTCCTAGGAAAAAACATCCTACTGAGGTGCTTTTCCTGTGATCTATGTTTCTTGCCCAATCAGCATCATAATAAGCTTCCAGGTGAGGATTGGTATTGAAAGAATACCATATTCCTAAGTCGGTAGTTCTTTTGACATATTTAATGATTCTCTTTACTGCTTTTAGATGTTGCTCGGTGGGATTGGCTTGATATCTAGCACATATTCCTACTCCAAAGCTTAGGTCTGGTCTACTTGCAGTTAAGTACAATAGGCCTCCTATCATGCTTCGATATAGAGTTTGCTCAACCTTTTTACCCTCTAAATCTTTTGAAATCCTTTCTGTTGTTAGAACAGGTGTTCTGACAACTTTGATTTCTTCTAGTCCGAATCTCTTAACAAGATTCTTTGCATATTTGCTTTGTGATATAAAAATCCCATTGTCTTGTTGTCTGATTTGCAGACCTATGAAGTAATTTAGTTCTCCAACCATGCTCATCTCGAATTCGCCTTCCATGTTGGTGATGAATTGATTTTTGTAGCATTCAAGAGTTGATCCAAAGACTATATCATCAACACAGATTTGGGCAATGATAATGTTTTGACCATAGTGTTTAATGAATAGGGTTTTGTCAACACTTCCTCTTTTGTAGCCCTTTTTGACCAGAAATTCAGTGAGCCGTTCATACCAAGCTCGTGGTGCTTGTTTTAGCCCATATAGAGCTTTGTTGAGTTTAAACACGTTTTATGGAAAATGAGGATCCTCAAATCCCTTTGGTTGAGCAACATAGATTTCTTCTTTTAAATTGCCATTTAAAAATGCTGTTTTTACGTCCATTTGATAGAGTTTTATCTTGAGTATGCAAGATATTGCTATGAGGAGCCGGATTGATTCAATTCTGGCTACTGGGGCAAATGTTTCCTCAAATTCTGTCCCTTCAATTTGTGTGTATCCTTGTGCTACTAGTCGAGCTTTGTTTCTTGTTATGTTTCCTTGTTCATCTGTTTTGTTCTTGTAGATCCATTTTGTCCCGATGATATTGGCTTTTTCTGGTCTAGGGACTAACTCCCAGACGTTGTTTCTTTCAAAATGTTGCAATTCTTCTTGCATGGCTTCCACCCAAAATTCATCTTTTAAGGCTTCGGTAATGTTTTTGGGCTCTATTTTGGAAGTGTAGCAATAGTCGCCTTCCTCCATTTTCCGATAATCTCGTTTATTTCCTCTAGTTTTGATCCCTTCATTGAGTCCTCATATGATATTTTCTAATGGATGATTTTTCTGTGTCCTTGTGTCATCAGTAGTGTGACTTTCCTCAATTTCCTCAATGGGTTGTGTTTCCTCTTTCTCTGGTGTTTCTGCTTCAGATTTCTGTTCTAGAGGTGTTGAAACTATTGTTTCAACAACACTGGGTTCTTCTTCATCGGTGGTGAGATCTTCTGATGATGTGCCATTGATGACAACATTGATGGATTCCATGAGACTGTCTGCTCTGAGGTTGAACACTCGATAGGCCCTGCTATTTGAAGAGTATCCTAGGAATATTCCTTCATCTCCTTTGATGTCAAACTTTCCCAATGGTTTTCTATCTATTAATATATAGCATTTGCTACCAAAGACATGAGTATGTTTCAGATTTGGTGTTTTTCCCTTCCAGATTTGATAGGGTGTCATGTTGGTTTCTTTTCATATGAATACTCGATTGATTAAGTAACATGCGGTGATTACTGCTTCAGCCCAGAACCTTGGTGATAATCTTTTGTGATTTAAGAGAACTCTTGCCATCTCTTGGATAGTTTGATTTTTTCGTTCGACCACTCCATTCTGTTGAGGTGTTTTTGGAGCGGAGAATTCATGATGAATCCCATTTTCTATGCAATAGTCTTCGAATTTTGAGTTCTCGAATTCTCTACCATGATCAATTCTTAAACGGATGATCTTCCCTATTTTTCCATCCTTTTCATTTTGGATTTTGATGATGAGAGTTTTGAAGGTTGTGAATGCTTCAGACTTCTCTCTAAGGAAGTTTACCCATGTGAATCGTGAGTAATCATCAACGGTCACATAGACGTACCTTTTTCCTCCTATGCTTTCTGTCAGAGTCGGTCCAAACAGGTCCATGTGGAGTAGCTCTAGAATCCTGGAGGTGTGTATTCCCAAGGTCTTCTTGTGAGCTGTTCGTGTGATTTTGTTTTCAAGACATGCATCACATTTTTTTATTATCATCTATGTCAAGTGTTGGAACTCCTCGATAGGCTCCTTTCTTTAACCCCTTTTTCATGTCATGGAAGTTTATGTGTCCCATCCGTTGGTGCCATAATTGTGTTTGATTGACGGTTGTTTGTAGGCAGGTTAAATCACTGTCCCATGTGTAGCATTTATTTGTACACTTTTTCCCTATCATAACACATTCATGATTTTGGTTGAAAATAGTGCAGCTATCTTTTGAAAACTCCACTTTAAGTTTATCTTCACATAGGTGGCTTATACTAATCAAGTTTGCTTTTAGTCCTTGTACCAAGAAGACTTTTGGTAATCTAGGTAGTCCATGTACATTTAAGATCCCACATGCAATAATCTTACCTTTCACCCCACCTCCACAGGTGACGTACCCTTCATTTTTATACTGAATATTTTCTAGATTTTCTGGGTTTCCAGTTATATGCCTTGAGCATCCGCTGTCAAAATACCATATATCTTGTCCTTTGCTTGTTTTAGAGGTATATGCAACATTTTGATCTTTTCTTACCCATATTTTCTTGCTATTATTTCCGTTTTGTGTTGGCCAATCTCTGTTATTTTGTCTGTAATAGAGATCGTTTTGCCTTTTGTAGCAGTATGCTTTAATGTGTCCCAATCTGTGACAATAATAGCATCTTATCCTTCTTCGATGTTGAAAGTGATGTTGCGACACTTCAGGAATTTCAGTTTGGTGACTTCCATTGGAGGCTGAAATTGGAGACCTAGGTCTTTCAGTTAGCACCTTGATTTCTTGTAGCAGTTTAGCGTCCCTGTTTTTGAAATCTAATAATTCATTTTGAGCTTCTTTGAATTGTTTTTTCTCCTCTATCTTTTTCATCTTTTAGGAACTGATTTTCTTCCATGAGCTCTAGATTTACTTTGATGATTTGTTCCCATTTGGCATGTAGTTGAGTATATGCCTCCAGTAATTCTTGTATATCTTCTCCGTTGTCATTTTCATGATTTGCGGTAAATGCTACGAAATTAGTATTGGTGTCTTCTTCACTGTCTGAGTCATCACTTAATGTTGTCATGTATGTCTTGTTTTTTCTTTTAAGGTATGTTGGACATTCTGACTGGATGTGTCCAAACCCTCTGCACTCATAGCACTGTATTCCCTCTGTATTTTAACTGTCTCTTCTTTTCGTACCTGGTGGTTTTTGATTAACTATGGAATTTCCTTGACCATTCGAGGGATTTTTATTTCTGAATTTGTTGAATTTTTTGAGAACTCGATTGAAATTCTTTGTCAATAGCGCGATTGACAGTTCCATGGTTTCAGTATCAGTTTTTGAGTTCTCTTCTTGTTTTGATTGTAGTGCTATTCCTTTGCCATTATTTTTCTGGTTTTGTAACATCTCAAGCTCATAGGTTTGAAGGTTTCCCATTAGATCACTAAGTTTGTAGGTGTTTAGATCTTTGTTCTCTTGAATTGCTGTAAATTTAAACAGGAATCTTCCAGGTAGGGAACGTAGTACCTTTTTGACGATCCTATGTTCAGGTATTGGTTCGCCTAGATTGAATGCATCTCCAGAGATGCTTAAAACTTTGGAACTAAATTGTGTGATATTTTCTTCTTCTTCCATTTTCATGTTTTCAAATTCTGTCTGTATCATCTGTAATTTGGCTTGTCTTACAGACGTGTTCCCTTCATGATGATCACATAATATACTCCACGCAGTTTTGGCTATGCGAGTGGTGGCAATCAGTTTGAAGGTATCTTCGCTCACAGCTCCATAGATTGCATTCATTGCCTTCGAGTTGAAGTCATATTTTGTTCTTTCTTCTTCACTGTAGTCAATTTTAGGTTTTCTATTTCCTTTATCATCAACTGGAGTTTTCCATTTGTTTTCTATAGCATTCCAGACACATTCTCCTTGTTCCAAGATGTATATCTGCATACTGGCTTTCCAGTAGGAAAAATTTGTGCCAATCGGGGCTGGTGGCCTGTTGTTTGATAGTCCTTCTCTTAGAAATTCAATTAGGATCCTGCTAGTAACTTAAGCAGTTTGGCTCTGATACCAATTGAAATATATAAAGGCGCAGCACACAGTGATGTTGGAAATTGACGTTGTAACACAAACGATTTGTAACGCTATTCGGGCAAACAACCCTAATCTGCGAGGCACTTCTTAAGTTGAGAATTTGCCTATATCCACTAAAAGCTTAATATTTAAAGTACACTGTTTGGAACCGGAGATTACACAATAAAATGATCTTTCCTATCGGACTATTGTGACCTAAACACATGTACTACTTTTCAAGGGGATTTGGGTATCTCTTCTCAATGACTCTCGTACCTCACAATTAGATCTTGAAAGCTTGAGTTTAACAATAAAGGAAAACCCCTTTTTATAATGGCTACTCCTAATAGTTGAAGGAATGGCAATGCTATTCCTTTCCAAACTAGAACTTGAAAAATTAAATCCCTTTGTAACTAGTATCAATTAATAACTAATCCTTATTGATGTGGTATTCCTTCATTCAACTGGAAATCCCTTTTTGCTCATAACTTTGACAAACTATTTTGAGTCAACAAATCAATGATTCATTAACACCAACGAATTATTAAAACCAATGAATCGCGCATATCAAATTGAGTACAATTCGATTCCAACCGTACATAGCTAATATTCATATTTTTCAAATTACTTTCTACCAAACTAAAATAACATTTATAACTCCACACCTCCAAATATTATTTAAGCTTTCATGGTAATCCGGCCATCTGAAACATTACATCCATTGCTATATAAATTTCCAACATAATAAAGAATCACAAATATAATAATTCTGGCATTCATTCAAATATTTCAAAGAAATAAATAATAATATCGTATGTATAAACATACTACTATATATATGGAGAAGAATTATATTATTTAAGTTAACTTGTTGTTTTATTCATAGAAACACGATTAATGCAAAGAAAACACCACAATGAAACTCAAAATGTTCATGTCTAGTAAAAATTAAACATTCCCTCTACTTTGGGAATTAATTATTTTGAAAGATATTAGGAAATTAATCATTTGTTTTTAAAGTATTGTTGCAGGATGCTAAAGCTGGCCTGGGGTTGAAAACCATCTTCATCCATGCTGCTTCTTGAGCCTGTTTGTCACCTTCGATCTGGAACACGGTGGTGGGATCGATGCGTTGAATGGGCCATGCCAACTCGTCCCTGAGCCGCCGGATTTTGCCTACTTGATGGCGGATTAAGCCTATGGTGTTGGTCTTGATTTCAGCAATGGCGGTTCAAGCAGCGCCTTCTTCTCATCAGCGTCGGACATGTCTTTGTTGGCTTCAGCTCTCAGATACTTGTCCATTTCAGGAACTCCAATGGCTCTTCGGATACCCTTTGTGTAATCTTTGTCGGGAGCAAAGATTCCTCGTACCTGCTCAACAAGACCTACATGCATATAATTAGTACACCAAACAAAAATTATGCATGAATGATGAATCTATGTCTCCCATGATCTCTTTTATAGAGTCATGCAAATAGACCAGTTAACCAAATTAGTCTGACCAGTTATATACGATTCTACCTAGAAATGAATTTAAGTTACCTTGATTAACCATTTGGTCAACTCGTTTGGACACAAAAGTGTTCAAAACATTTGGAGAAACATCAAGCGAAATGAAGCAGTCAAGGTCCTCCACCAGGGCTTCAATGAAAGAATTTGACCCACCGACGACGATCGGAACCTTGCCGGAGTTGATGATTCGCTCGATCACCGACGTGGCCTGGAAGCAAAAGTTGCGGGCAGTGTATTCTTCATCGGGTTTCCCAACATGCCCACGCAAATGATGAGGCACGCCAAGCATCTCGACCTCAGGAATCTTGTTACCCAGAACGTCAAGTCCTCTATAAACCTGAATCTTGTCGGAGTTGATTATCTCTCCTCCAATGCGGGCGATGAGGCTGACAGACAGCTTCGATTTTCCCGATCCGGTGGCTC